TTTTTATACGTTTTATATATATATATATTGCATAAGGGCATTTTAAAACATTGTATCCCCTCTATTTTTCATATCGTGAATGTCAAACGTTAAACTCTTTTTCCGTACCTTTTTTTTTTAATCTTGCATTCCAGACTGGTGAAAGATGTAGAGAATGTATCAGCTGTTCTCCATGGGTAATATGTGAAATAAAATAAACACTATTACATAAACCAGTTCTGTTACGTTGCCTTTAGTGGGGGCAGGTGGTCGAGATGAATGATTTCTTACCTAGTTGAGTCCTACCCTTACTAACCTAGCCCGGCAGTTCTGTGACAGACTAAAAGGTTTTGGTTACAGCCTTTGTTAGTAGCCACTTTATCTCCTCAAATCAAGTAAATTCGGGAGCAAGCACGCATCTTAGAATCCCAGGGCAGAGCTGTTGGGAAGGCTCTGAGGCCTTTTCTACCCGTTCCAGCCAGGGCTGAATCGTGTCACAGCTTGGATTGATCGTGCGAGTTTATTTTTTGCCCTAATTAATCAGAGAAACAACTGCACACTTCAACATTGCACAACAAAGTAACAGATTTATTGAGGGAGCACGTTCCAAAAATGGTCATGGCTGCTTCCAAGGTTATTTATGTTGAAGGATTTCCTGGGCCACAGTTCAGGTTAAAGTTAAACGGTGACCGGTTCAGTGCGGGCAGAACATCTTGGATGAAAGCTTAGCATTAGGGATTTTGTTGTTTTGTTCTTTTTTTTTTTCCCTTTTTTTTTTTTGTGTTCAAAAAAACCCCAACAAATTCCAACTGAAGACCAGAAAACAAACGTGAAGCTGAACCCTATTAATGCACCAACAGCACCATCTATTGGTGTCTACTCTTTGCAAGCCAAGAAAACAATCCTAAAATATAAACAAGTGTATTTTAGTAACGGCTCGGATAAAACATACATTTTCCCCTATTTTATAGTATCTCTGAACATAGTCAGCATACGCAGGAGAGGACTGGGGAACAGCAACACAAAATGCCGCTAGAATAAATTAAATGGGCATATTTTTTTTACCTCATAATAAATGCCCAAGGAACATACATTTACAAGAAAAATTCAAAAGAACTGGCAATGATGCCTTTCCAGGAACAGCTGTGAAAAAGCTTGGGTGGGAACCCAGCTGACTAGATACCTGGCATATATTCAGAATTGTTTTTCTCCCCAAAGTTTTGAAGCTCTGCTCAGAATTGCCTATTTTTAGTTACTTTCCTAAACATTTTCAACTAAGAATTTTGGAATCTTGAGATGTGGGTTTTCCACTTGAAATGTTGGTTTGTTTGGTTGGTTTTTTTTTTTTTTTTTTGAAAGTGCATATATAGTGACATTTGCCAGTTTCAATTACCATCTGTTTGTTACCAGCTGGAAGAGAATTTACCTCTCTACTGCTGATGGCCTTTCTGATCCAGATCTTGTAAGATGTAAGGGGTGACAGCAAACGCATGATCTTCAGCACAGATTATAGCTGCCAGCTGAGAAACAAGCAGGTGGCTACTCTCAAATCAGGAAAGATCTTGAAATTAGAATAATTGCTGCTTATAAGACTTGGGGTGCTTGTGTTGGGAAATTACAATGTGTACGTGAAAGCGTGATCCTACTCAAAGTACATAGAATATCCAAAATTACTTCAACAGAACCATAAAATTTAATAGCTACAGTATTTTACTTATGGGTTACGCAGCTGGCATCTTTATCATCTAAACTTGTGGCATAAGGCTGGATTGGACTACAAGCATGGTTGAGCACGTACCTGCCAACTAGTAATTTCTGTTTGTATTGATCTTTTCTTCATTTACTGCCAAAACCCAGTCCCCGCTTAAAGTACCTTTCTTCCTTCCTTTCCCTTTCGCTATCAGAAAACACTTTGCTCAAAGCTGAAAGATCCTTGGACTAACCTGACAAGGCTAAAAGCAGAAAACTGGTGCTGGACAGCATAATGCCGACGTTATTGGAGATTGGGAAGTGCAATTTCCCTTTGGAAGGATCAAGAGCACCACCTGCCGCACTTGTAGGGAGAAACAAAACTCCAGCAACTAAAGAAAAGATGTTTTTTTTATTCCCTCTAACCTCACCCCCCCCCCAGTCTTTGAAACCATGTCTTCTAAAGAATAAAGACCAACCTCTTCCTCTTGCCCATGCAGGAGACATTACTGAGGAACTTTGGCTAAGCATCTTTTCGCTCCAGCATTGCAAAAAACAGCAACTAAAGAAAAGATTTTTTTTTTAATTCCCTCTAACCTCACCCCCCAAATCTCTGAAACCATGTCTTTTAAAGAATAAAGACCAAGCTCTTCCTCTTGCCCATGCAGGAAACGTTACTGAGGAACTTTGGCTAAGCATCTTTTCACTATGAACATACCTCAGAGGAAAATGTTGGACACTAATCTTTAAACAGCAGTTGAAATCCATACATGAACTAGATTAAAATCTCTGAGGAGTGAAGGGCTTTTGAAATCCCTGAGGTTTCAGGGAGAAGAAGAGTGTGAAACAATATCAGCCCATGAAAGCAAGCTTCCTCTTGAAGGTCAAGAAGAGCTGTGTGCTTAGGTCAAGGCCAGCTTATGCTCTAATTTGACAGATGAGAAATGGAAGATGTCATCAAATGGCTCCAAAATCAGGAGCATCCATTTACCCAACGCCTTTCTTCACGTATTTATTTCTAAGAACAATCTGGTCGCCAACGGCCAGCATTTCAAAGGCTGCTTAAAACATGACTATAAGTTCAGTTCAGACAAGGTTCTAAGTGTAAATTAAGTTTTGCAAAGGTAAAAATGTATCAGAGCAGGAATTCATCCTTGTCCACCAGTCTGTTCAGGAGCGGATGCCAAAGGAATGGTCATCATTCTCAGCAGAGGCTCCAGAGTGAAGTGTCAGGAGAGTTCATGGAATATTCTTTATGACTTATTATTTTGTTTTGTACCTACCCTAGAGACTCCCTATGGCAAAGAAAAAGTATTACACTATAGACAATTTTTTATTACCAAAATAGATTCCAAGGGCTATTTTTAATCTCAGAAAGATTTTTGTGGCTCCATTATTAGTGCTATATGGAATGGTGGCAAAGGGCCTAAAATGCTGATATACAAGTGCTTTCCCATAAGGTCCTAGTGCAGGTCCCCTAACCTGGAAGAGAGAAACTAGTAATTATTTGTCTTTCTCCAATTGGTACCACAAAAATTACTTTTAAGCAGCCACATCACACGGAAGACTGCAAAAAATGCTTGTTCTCCAGCTACATCAGAAAGTGGTCAAATTGTCCTGCCACTGTTACCTAGGAACAACTTTTACTGTATCCAAAAAGTAGAGACACTGGTGTGCTCTCAGACGATTATCAAAATCTGCAAAGCATCTTGGTTCGTGCTAATAAGAACTGCAGTCAGGTGCCAGATATAAACTTTTACTGCAAGTACAATGACAGAAAGGGGAATACTAATGAATACTTTGGCACATATGAAGCCTTTTCTGGCTCATTTAGTACCCAAAGGACAGCAAGTCATAATTAAAGCCAATAATGGCAACTCCAGACAGCCATCCAAATATTTTCCTTGTGCCGTCAATACACCGTTTTATATTATCTCACATCATTTTTAAGTAGCGTAGAGCACACAGGCATCAGGAGAAAAAATTCCAGCGTGACTGAGTACAACCAATAACTGAATCCAATTATGCCTAACTAACATTTGTTTATTGTGTTCACAATAGTTTGCTTTTATTATCCAAATATTTCTTAAAGAACATTTCTTTTCATCAAATAAGTTGTGTCAGCTTTGAAACAGCTTTAATTTTTAAATACTTCATTCTTTGGAGGAGGGCCGTGTAGGAGAAGGACCATAATATGTTCATGTTCTTTGTAAAGAACTTTGCTTTTTACTACATGCTATATATATACAGTAGTCAAAATGCTTGATAACTATAGGGTCTCCAAATGAAAAATAAATGGTTCCATTAAGACTAGAATCAATGCTAATAGTTTGATAAGACTGGAGTGTTTTGCTTACAAAATTCCTAGCGACTTCAACAGCAATGAGAAAGCCAAATGGAATCTTTTTACTTTCTTTGATTCTGTGATAACTTTTACCAAACATTTAACTGGACCTCCTTGAGTCTCCCATCCACTTACAAAAGCCTGGGTTTTTCCAAAGTCAGGAAAGATCAGTACAATGCAGCTGAAGGGAAATATTTTGTAATAAATTCTGACTCTCAGAATAGGTTTGCAAAATAAATATTCCCCCAGTACTTTCAGTCAACTATCACTTCCCAGATCTGTCAGTTTGCAAATTGCATGTAACTTTTCCAGCAATTATAAAACGGTTTATATTTTCTTCATACTTTGCTAACTTGGTGTAAAAATAAACAAACAAATGTCTCGGTCTTAATCTCTGGTGTCCAGTAGTATTGGCAGAAACAGAAGAACAAACGTAATGGATTTTATCTGTTAGTTCAGGAGCAAACTAAGCAGTTCATCACAGAAACACGATTATTGTCCTTTTAATAGGTGGT